TTGACAGAAGATTTCTTAAATGTTTTTTTTATAGAAAGAAGACCTCTATTAAGAAGAACCTCTTGAAAATGTTTCTTCTCCAAGCCACTTCTGTAAACGCTTTTTAAAGACACAAGACCTGCCAAACGTCTTACAGAAACAAACTATCACTTAGAATTTTTCTGTAGAGGACCACTTTGACGACTTCCATAGATAAGGAGCCCTATTTTGTAAAAGGAAATCCTTCAATAGGTCATCAACTCCTCCAAAATGTCTTACAAAAACTGAAGACTGATATTTTATAAAGAAGGCCCGTTGGACCCTCTAGAGATCCTTTGTAGATGTTTTATGGATAAAAAAATCTCTGACCGATGTCAAAAACAGAAGACCTACTCGAAGTCTTCCCTACTCAAAAGTCTTCATAAAAGCTTTCTAGGAGCAGAGGACCGCCAGAATGTCATATATTTGCGGAATATCTGTAGGTGTCTTCTAATAATGGTTTTCTATAAGTCCTCTTAAAGTTGTTTTTTTTTTTTTTAAGAAAAACTAAAACAAATATTCTAAAGAGAGAGGATCTAAAATCAGTCTCTATAGAAGAGGTATTAATATTTTGAAAACATGCAGATTTTATTTATATAAAAGTCATTCACGGAATACGGAAAAGGCCTACCATGGATAGAACACAGAATGCGAGCGGGAGTACTCCTGCGAGTAACAAAAATAGAAATGGAGTAAACTCTTTTTTCCTACGCTGCTCGAATAAGTGCGAGTATGTTTTGCTCGTATTTGAGTGGGAGTATAATTCGCTGGAAATCGAACTGATTCTACACCTGCCGAGTTTTCTTGTGGGTTTCTTCGTACTCATTTTGCCAGTCCGTACATATAAAACAATGAATGGAGAGTTAATTTCTTTTAAAACTCGTTCGAGCATTCCTGCTCGGGAGACTAGCGAGTAAATTCGAATAAATTTGGGTATCTTGTATATAGAATTCACCCTTTAGGAAGTCCTTTACGAAACTCTATAACCTCTATATAGAAACGAACTCTTCCAAGTCTTCTATTGATAAGTTATCTCCCCTGGGTCCATATATGTAAAAAATCTCTTTTTATTTCTTCTGATTCTCTACTCATTTGGATCTTCCATAAATGCCAAATTACACCATTACAGCAAATATTTGCCTCAAAATGAAAATTTATTTTCATTTACAAACATATAATTACCACACAATTTTTTGTGGAACAGCTTGGAAATGAAATGATAAGAAACTTATAAAACACTTTCAAAAACTTAAAGCATACTTTTGGGGGATGTAACATTTAAAGTATACGCTTAAGTGGAAGTTATTACTCTGTTGTAATCTTAGGTAAGAGTATTACTTTTTTACACACACACACACACACACACACACCTACATTGTGTCCCCTCCTCTCCGCCTTTCTTGCCACCTTTCAGTTTCTCTGATGGTATTTGTGAGTGTTTTTGTAAAAGTGTGTATCATTGGGTTCCATTAAAAACAAAAACTGTTGCATACCTAATGGCTGACACTTGAGGTGGTAAATGGGATTTTTAGTTCGTTCTCTAACGTTCTTCCTGGCTAGAAAGTTGTTGTTTTTTTTTGTTTTTTTGTTCTTAGAAAACAAAAAAAGACCAAGTGATGGAGCTAAAAGACTATGGAAAGTGTATACAATCATCATCGGAGTACTTATGGTGGAGAAAGAGAGTGAAACAGTTGAAATGCACTTTGTTGGATAGAGTGAGAGTTCATTTTTTGTGTAGACTATGTATGTAATTGTGTTTCGATTTAAAGGACTTGCCTCGGGTTAATAGGTGAGGTAAATATTTAAGAAACTATGACTGTTTGAAACTGTTTTCAGAATTCTGTTTTTATGGTTACAACGTTACAGAGTCGAAAAAATAAAATAAACCAACATTTAATTGGACAGAAAAATTAATTTCATTCTTAATTGGCAATAATATTTCTCATTAAATTTTTTGTAGGTACAAATTTGCTGCGGAGCTTATGTGGAGTCCTTATTCACACCATGTCCTTTTTAATCTGTTTTGCAGCCAGCGGAACTCCGCCATGCGAGAATCACTTGATGTGGATAAGTTTTGGTGTATTTGCCGGTCAAATCAAATAAATACCCCCTGCCTGGCCACTGGCATGACGTTTGAAGTTCCGCCAACAGACAAACAAAATCAACCAAAATAACGAAAAATAATTTCCTTTGGCAATTAAAGTCCAGCCCCCCCTCAAAAAAGTAATTTTGCTTGCTTATGGTCGAGATACCTGTTTTTCAATCGAGACGGTTAAAAAAGCGTGCATTTACACTGACACACTTGTGTATAAATGACCGCAGAGAGATAGAGACACTGAAGTGCCACAAAGTTTGCATGATTACAACACCCAGCCGAGGAGACAGGCAAAACATGCCGAATTGGCACCCTCTTAGATATATGTATGAATACAGAGAGACATTGGCCAAAAGAGGTGTAGAGGTCTTTTTGGTGGGACCAATACACTGAGAGAAAATATGTAATACTTCTTTTAAATTGAGTCATAAGTAAGAGAGAATGCTAAATATGTTGCGAAAACGAATTGACAAGGAGACATACTTTCAGAATGTTGTTTAAATTTCGGGCCATTACACTGAGAAATAATATTTTGATCAGAGAAACATAATTTGTGAGAGACTTGGCCTTCGACTTGGCATTAAAAGAAATGAAAACCAGTAACGGTTCTAAAGGTCGAAAGTCGGGTGGCGCCGATCTCGATAAAATCTGGTAGGGCATTTTCGAGCAGTATATGATGTCCGGTATCAAATATCATGGTTGTGGAGTACATATTACGCATTTGAGGTACTTTAACACCAAATCGGATGAAACATATATATGGGAGCTATAGCTATATCTGAAGCGATTTTCACCAAATTTGAAGTACTTGTTTTTAGGATGAATTCAGTCGGAATTGCCAAAATTCAGTCCATTTGGGCTGATATTAGCCATTTAGGGCACAACAAGTTAAAAAGTATAAATATGGGCCAATATTGTCCAATCATGGATATTCAAAATATTGATGTACCAGAAGGAGTGGACCGATATATCCCATCTTCATAGTAGATCTTGTGTTGGTAGAAATAATGAGAAGTGTGTAATATTAAGAGAACCGGATGCTTATTTCGGATTTTATAATCGTTTTGTTTATTCAAAACTTTGAACCTTTGTGGGGGAGGTACCAGAAGATATAGTCCGATCTCTACCATCTTTATAACAGATCTTGTACTGATAGGAATATTGAGAAGTCCCAAGCCTGAAAGGAATTGGATGTGAATTTCGCGTTTTATGAGCTTCATGGCTATTCAAAATGTTGACCCTTTGTGGGGGCGGCACCAGAAGGAGTGGACCGATATATCCCATGTTCACAACAGATCTTGTGTTAGTATAAATAATGGGATGTGTGAAATGTGAAGAGAAGCGGATGCTTATTTCGGATTTTATAATTGTTTGGTTTATTCAAAACTTTGACCCTTTCTGGGGGAAGTACCAGAAGGAATTTGTTCGATCTCTACCATCTTTATAACAGATTTTATACTGATAAAAATATTGTGATGTGCCAAACCTAAATGGAATCGGATGTTAATTACGCGTTTTATGAACTTCATGGCTATTCAAAATTTTGACCCTTTGTGGGGGAGGTACGAGAAGGAATGAACCGATATATCCCATTTTCATAGCAGATCTTTTGTCAGTAGAAATAATAAGATGTGTGAAATGTGAAGAGAACCGGATGCTTATTTCGAATTTTATAATTGTTTTGTTTATTCAAAACTTTGACCCTTTGTGGGGGAGGTACCAGAAGGAATGGTTCGATCTCTTCCATATTTACAACAAATCTTGTGCTGATTGAAATATTGAGATGTGCCGAAACTGAATGAAATCGGATGTTAATTTCGCGTTTTGTGAGCTTCATGGTTATTTAAAACCTTGACCCTTTGTGGGGAAGGTACCGGAAGGAGTGGACCGATATATTCCATCTTCACACCAGACCTTGGTTTAATAAAAATATTGTGATGTGTGTAATTTGAAGACAATAGGTCTCTTACTTCACATTTTATAAGAGCTATAATTATCCCAAATTTTGACCTATAGTGTGGGCGGTACTTGATGGAGTGTCCCGATATTGTTCATTTTCCCACCTAATCCAGCACTGATGCAAATCATAGGATTTGCAAAGTTTGCACAAATTCTTATTATCCTTTCTCTTTCTACGAGGTAAATTAATTTCTTTGAAAATTTCCAACTTTTGTGGGGGAGGTACAAGAAGGAGTGGATCTATATTTCCCATCTCCGAACACGATCTTAGTTTGATAATAATATTACGATGTATAAAGTTAGGACCAAATCGGATACAATATTTCGACCTTTTGTGGGGGAGGTACAAGAAGGAGTGGACCGCTATTGCCCATCTCCGAACACGATCTTAGTTTGATGATAATAATATTACGATCTACTAACTTCGGACAAAATTGGATAATATCGTGCGCTCCAGCCAGACAGACGGACGGACGGGCATCGCGAGATCGACTTCAAATGTTCTGAACGGATTTGTTCCAAAGAGACCTATATTTTAAAATCTTTATTTCGATGAGGCACGTTTTGGCCTCTCTAGCCATATAACCGAGGGTATAAACATATTTTAAAGTAATTAAATTATTATTCTTTCTCAGTGATATTTTTATAGGTGTAGTTGTTAACCAAAGTCGAAAAAAGACTTGTTAACATAAAAATCATTTTCCGTCTGGTGGCAAACAGGCCATTGAAACCATTCATGCATAGACCGTTAACCACCAGTTTTTCTTTTTCCTGGCACCAAAAAGGAGTCTATATCATTGTACACATCGCACACATAAACTCGAAAAAATTCCGTTATCCTAACGCCACCAACACGTTTTATGCTTTGGACATTATTTCAAAAATGTTTCCCATAAATGTTTTTAATTTTTATTTTTTTCCAACTTACCAATCTTATTTCAATTTCAGCATCAATACGTTTACGCATCTTACGATTGGAATTACCAAACGGACACAACAAATCATCATCACTGCCAGCAGTCATGAGATTTGCACCACCAACACCATTCGTCGCCAATGCTCCTCCGTCGGCCAGCAGTAGTGTCGCCTCATTGCCATCGGCAGTTAAAATATCAAATGCCGCCGTTGTGGGTGAACCAACGGCCGTCGATGCTGCCGACAGGCCGGTGGCCGGTGTGGGAGGTGGTGTGATTTTGCCGGCCTCATCATACAGGACACGTACACTGTGCGGTCGAGTGTCGCTGGTAAAGAGTTCCTTGCGATATGACTTGTCACTTTCGTAGTGTTGTTTACGTTGTGCGAATGTTAAAAGGTCGCTTTCCGCTGTTCATACCATGCCATTCCATTGATAAAAACACACACCAAGCCATGGTTGGGAAATTGGAGGAAGAAAAAAAGAGAGAAGAGAAAAAATACAAAAAAATTAAATTTTATGTTCATACTAAGTAAAAAAAGCAGATAAATAAATAAATGAATGAATCAATGTTTTTAATGAAGGTAAAGCCAAGAGAGAGAGAGGCCTCAGCCAGAGAGGGTTATCTTGGGTGGGGGTTATACATTTTTGCTCCACAGTCAATTAAGTATATTTTTTTTTGTTTTTAATAAATTGAAACAAGTTGTCGTTTATATCTGTTTTTGCTTACGACGAGCTTTGCAGCCATAAGTGAGTCACGTTTTTTTTGCATGGAAATTACAAAATTGATAGTCTGTCTTGCCGGTATTAATTATGACTGTTTGATTTACTAGTAATGCCAGTACTTTGGCAGTGAGGTTTACAAAGGAGAATTGAAAATAAAAAATGAGAGTTGTTCTAGAAATTATATTTTTTTATTGAATTGAAAAGATTGAAAAGTTTTATCTATAATAAATTAGGAAATATTTTTTTGTGTGTTTTTATCGATAAATTTGATAAAGATATTTTGCTTTTATATAATATCAATATAGATTTTGTATCTTTTTCGACTTATGCTAGGAACACAATTGGAGCGAACGACGAATTTTTTCGCGGCGTATGTTCGTCGTCAAAAATAAAAACCATATGTGTATATGGAAGTGCACACAATCACGGCGCCGGCGAAAATTTCGTCGGTCGCCGCGAACTCAATTAGCTTTATTTCTATTTCATACGCCGGCGAACGGCGACAAAACAGTACAAGGTGGCCATACTTGTACGAATTTTATGTGTTTTAGTAAATAAAGTTACTTTATACTTAAAAATTTGTTATGGTCACTCTACTATCTGTTATTCGTATAAAAAAACATAAATAATTTGTTTATTTATTTGTGCACTTGCGCCTGAGTGAAGATGGATATCAGTGAATTTATAATAGAGAAGATGGACATAACTGAAATTATAAAGAATTATGAGTTCTTGTATAATTTTCATTGTAGTCAACAAATGAGCAAAAAGTAAACAACTTCATCAGCTGTTTTATAATTTCGTCAGTATTGTGTTCCATACGACGAATTTTCGCGGCTCATTTTGTCGCCGCGTAGGGCGAAATTCATCGTTCGCTCCAATTGTGTTCCTAGCATTATATTGTAATTTTATGTAGAATATTTTTGTCTTTGGTGTCACTCCCCTAAAATGATGTTTTATGGAAGGATTTTTCATAAACTCAGATGGAGTGCGATTCTAACCCTAAAACATGTATTTTTTTTTTGTTTTTAACGATCTGAAAAACTCGCTCGAATTCATAGAATGAGTGAGGCCAACTCGAATTCGAGAGAGGTCTTTCCTGGGAGCAGATAAATAATTTTTGAGTGGGAGCAAAAATCGTTTAAATTCGATCAGTTTATACTTCTGCAGATCAATCTTTTAGTTTTTGCCATAAAGTTCTTTTATTTCTATTTCTATATATGTATGTGTATTTTTTTCTGTACACAATCAATCCCCCTCTCTCCCCCACGCTCTCCAACAGCATATATTTTATATTACACACAGAAATCAGAAAACAAATTATTTTTCACTCATTTACACTCTTAGGACAAACTCTTGCTCTATTTTGGGCGCTTCTGCTCCCACTCTAATTTTTCAAACTGAAGAGACTCGGGAGTTCTCCCGCACATAACAAAAGAGAGAAGAGTAGACTCCGTAAAATACGCCCACTCTTTGAGCAATTCTACTCGCGCGCAAGTGTTGCTCCCCAGTGAAAGTGAACAAATCTGTGATATGGTGTTAAGTAAGTTTTGAAACCTGAGTGTTTATTTGATTTAAAGAAATCACCGGATTTTTACTAGGAATGTAGCCGAAGACACTATATATTTATAATCGATGGAGTCCAAGGAATATTAACATAAATATTTTTAAACACAGAAAAAGGGGGAAAATTGCTAGTCCTGTTTCAGCCACCTTCCAATTTAAACTTTTAAGAAGCCGGTACTCCATATTCTGATATTTTTAGGTCTACTTTTCTAATTTACTGGAGTTTTCCTATAATTATTGTTTGTGTCGCACGATATAATTAATAGACTCATCCATAGAAGAAATTCAAGACCATTCGTCCTTAAAAGTTCTCTTGAGTGTCTTGCATATAAAACACCTAAAAATCTTCTACCCAGAAAAAAACCCTGTCATATATACATATTATCCACAAAAGACCTCTTAAAGATATTCTATCATAAAAAAACAGAAAGTCTGAGCCTATAGATGAGCTTTTGAAGGTCTTCTGTACACATTACAGCTATTGAAGGCCTTCTAATAATGGACAGCCACCGGGGGATCTTTTATCCACAGATCACTTCTTGAAAGGTATTCTAGACATTAAATATATCGTGGGAAGGTCATTTAACATTCGAAGACTTATTGGAGGTATTTTATTCATAGAATAGTTCCAAAAGGATTTTTTTGCCGAATTCTTTTTTAGAAACCCCTTTGAAGATTTTCTCTCCATAGACGAATTTTTGAAGGAGACTTCTTAAAGATCTTCTACGCATATTACACACATTAAGAGCTTCTTGAGGGTTTTCTACCCATAGAAGGTTCTCATATCATAGAAGATCTCCACAAAAAAAAAACTATTTTAATTTTCAAAAAGGTCTCTTGGCACTAAAAAATACCAAAGTGTCGATGACCTCAAGCAAGCGCTTCGCCGGAAATGGGCCAAAATACCGCAGAGCAACATTCGGGCAGCATGTGACGGTTTCATTGGTCGTTTGAAGGCCATAATTCGTGCCAAAGGTGACCAATAAACATATTCTAAATTCTAAATTCTAAACATATTCTAAAATTTGATGCTATTTTCGACATTTGTTTTGCTTTCATTCAAAAAAATTAAAAAAAAAATGTAAAAATTATGGCGTTTGACTTTGTTGCAGTTTCTTTATCTCACCCTGTATTAAAGGCCTCTGAGGGGTTTTTACCCATAGAAGGTCTTGTATCCATAGAAAACCTTTAAAGGTCTTCTTATTATAGAAGATCTTCCAAAAACCAATTTAAATTTTTAAGGGGCTCTGGCTGTACACAAAACATTCAAGGAAGTCTTTTGGAAGCCTATTAAAGGGGTTTTTGCCATAGAAGAAGTATTTTAACGAGAAAAGACCTCTTAAAAATCTAGAAAATCAATTAAAGAACTATTGAAAGTCTAGAAAATTACTTAATGGCGTTGTAGCAGAGTTTCTATCTATTGAAGGCCTCTTGGTGTCTTTCTGCTACGGAAGACCTATTAAAGATCATCCTTCTACAGAAAACAGCTCCAAGGGCTTCTGTTCATGTTCTCTTGATTGACTTCAATCCATAGATAGCTTCATGAAGTTCCTCTATTCATGAATAGCCTTTGAGTCGTCGAATAATACTAGACCTCTTGAGGGTCTTTCATGGAGGAGACCCCACTTCAATCTATAAAAGACGAAAGCCTTCGATTTAAAGGTCTCTTAAAAACTTCCGTAAGAAAAATATTTCTTTACCTTCAAAGTTATTTTAAACATAGAATTGAATATACTCTTTCCACAAATTTTCAGAACATCCCTCGCTTTGAAAAAAATTGCTATTATTTATTTATTGAGACTTCATTCATTTCATTAAAGACAAGGTATTAACAATAAATATCAGGGACACTTAAAACTATCATGTATTATTCTAATATCATTATATAAAATGGGTATGCTACATGCTTAAACATTCTTTAGATATGTAATTGTATTTAACAAATAATCAATAAATAAGATAAATAGTGTTTGCTCCCGACACTTGCTGTAGCGAATAGAGTTTTATCTATATTTGGATGTGTACTTACAACTAGGACTTACAACTACAGAAAAAAAAAAAAAAAAAAAAACGAAACAAAGCAATTAAACTAAAATTATGAATACTTAAACTATATAAAAAAAAAAAAAAAAAAAAACTACCCCCTATGTGTTCCAGGTGTAGAGTAAGAATAAAAGTTTTGGCCAGATGAATTTGACCCTCCTTGAATTATTCCTAAGGCGGAAAGATAATTCGTATTCGTCCAATTAAATTCACGTTCGCTGTTTAAAATTTCCTGAAAAATAGACCCATTGAAATCTACAAGTCTTTCTACGAATCGCTTCATCAAATCAAGTGCATATGTTGAAAGTCGTGTAATTTTGCTCTCATAATAAATGAATTCATTTGAATATCGCTTAGTATGTGACTGAAAATTTCGACCTAAGCATTTCCGAATAATGTTCCGCTCAAAAACTTCTAATTTTTTCATCGTGGTTGGAGAAATGTTGAACCAAATAGTAAAGGCATACAGAAGGACAGGACGTATGCTAACTTTGTAGAGGAATAATTTAGTTTTAACTGATAAAAATTTGTTGTTAAATAAATTTGAAAATGCACCTTTAATGCGATTCGCTCTTTCTAAATTGTAATCAGCATGTCTGTTGAATTTTAGAAGGTGGTTGAAATTAACTCCTAAGTATTTAAGGTTATCAGTGAACTCAATTTCATCACCATCCAAATGCAGCTCTAACTGTTTACTTTCCGGCACTACAGTATATTTGCATTTTCCGGAAGCATTTCTAATGCAAATTGCTTTACTCTTTGTGGCATTAATTTTAATGCCCCATTGCGAATAAAAAAATTTCACTCGGTTAAGATGCGACGAGACATGTTGAAGAGCAACTGACGGGGACTCATCGTGAGCGTAGAGAAGAGAGTCATCGGCATAAAGTAAACCCTTGGATCCATCAAATACATGGGGAAAGTCGTATATGGATATATTATATAAATGAGGTGCTAATATGGATCCTTGCGGCACGCCGCAGGTTACATCACAAAAGGATGACAGGACGTTATCAATTTGAGCAAAGAATTTTCTTTCGTCGAAAAAGCTTTTAAAAAGTTTCACTGTTGTTGG